TAAACCATAAAGTATCTAGATTTAAAGTGGTGTAAACTTAGTTTTGTACCTAACGAATGTTGACTTTAGCTCCTGACTTCACATTCTAACCTTAAATCATAATAATAGCATTCAAAATTTTATGAACTAAATAATTAATGAATTTGGAATGATTAAAGAACTTTATAAATTATTGCAGAAAATAAGAGTAAAATAAATACTTAAAGACGACATGAATATACTTGTATATTTTAATTTACAATTCATGGAGGACGAAATTTTTCATGAAAAAACCATGAACATATTAAAACTTATGACATCAATCTTACATGTGTTTAAAAAAGTCAATTTATTAATAATAATTTTATCAACAGGAAAGTCAAGGCAGTGATGAAGGCTCAAGGATTACCATTAAGGTCGAGGGAACAGTTAATAATGAAGGAATTTCATCTTTATCTTCATACTTCTTCTTCTCAAAATACTTCACAACACTCAGCTTCCGGCAGCAACACTGAGTTACTTGTCAACAATCAAGAGTCAAGTGATTGTCTTCAGGAACAACAAGATCAACACTGTATTTCTAAACAAGACAAACTACGAAAGATTCCTATTAAAATTAACTCAACTCTGGTCAAAAGTCAGTGTAATTCACAGACTAATGACATTAATGGTTCCTCTGGTGACACACATCAATTAAACGTTGAATTAAAACAAAACTCGTCACGTAAAGCCACACAGTTTACGTCACAGCAAAATGACGTAAGTCACACTGACACTAAGAAGGTAACAACGAAAAAGCTTAATGAAAACATTAATTCAAGTATCACTTGTAACAGCCAGCACAACACTGAGACTCAGAACACGTCCTTGACAGGTAACACTCAACAATCATCATCAACAACACAAGATGCCCCTAATATTCACATCTCTCACAACAATCTTCTACCAATAACTAAAAGAGGACTCTTCTTCAGTGACTCCTTCTTTGAAGATGCTCGTAAAGACTTCGAGAAGTCTGTTAATGATATCCTGACAAGATGGGGCAAAGAAGAGGTTGTCAGTGAGACGTGTGAAGACTCGAGCCTCCGTCTGAACAACAGTTTAAGACGATACAGACAACTTAGAGGTCACGACCTGAGAGATGAGAACCAGGCCATCACGGTCACCACTAACAACACCGCTCACAAGGTCAGTTCCTCTCAGTGAATAATGTAAAAAATTCATTATATTACAGTAAACTTAAGCAGAATTTCACAATAATTAGATAATTGTATTTATCTATATTTTTTCCAAAATTTTTAGTTATGGGTGGAAGAAATTTAAAAAAAATATAGATCACTGGAAGCAGAAAGATGGATATTAAACTTCGAACTGACGTTATATACTAAAATAAAAACATTAAATTGTTAATAATAAGAATTATCCTTTAAACGATAAATTATATTAATTTTTGTTCATTTTCTTTTGAAAGATGTTGTATATAATATATTAATTAAAATACAAGGTCACTGCAGCTCCACTACCGGTGGGAAGACACAGAAAATTTACTAAGAGATTCACCAAGTTTGTCAACAAATAACTGAGACGTCAGAATAAATATTTTCACTTTTGTTAAGAAACAAAACAATTCCACCATCTTAGCACTGTTGTAAATAAACTAGGAAATTGTAAATTATTTACTAAATTATCGTTCATTAAATATGCTGAAGGAAACTTAGTTCTTTTGTTACAAGTTCAATGTTCACTGCAGATCGTGCTGGATGTTCATGACTTCATGGCTGGTGAGGTGAAGGTGAAGGTGGTGGGAGGGAGACAGGTGCTTGTTGAAGGTCACCTCAACACAAACAATGGAGACTTCGCCTCCCTCCTCCTCCTCCCACACCTTCAGGAGGACTTTTACCCTGCCAGAGAACACCAACACTGAGAATATCACCTCCGTCATGTCCTCTGATGGTATACTGACCATCACTGCTCCAAAAATTGTAAGTTTTTAATATACATTTGAATTTAATGTTTAATGCAATAAGGTGATAAACTTTCGACTTCATCCCGTCAATAAACCTGATTTTTACGTTAAAACATTTATTTAACAGGTAAAACAATTGAAGGACAACGAGGTGATAATTCCCGTTACACTTGAGGAAGATTATAAAACAAATGAAGAAACTAAGTTGACATCCACTTCAGTATCTCAGGTTGCTGCTGCACCAATACTTCCTCAGCACCCAGATCTTCCTCAGCACCCAGCTCTTCCTCAGCACCCAGCTCTTCCTCAGCACCCAACTCTTCCTCAGTACCCAGCTCTTCCTCAGCACCCAGCACTTCCTCAGCACCCAGCACTTCCTCAGCTCCCAATTCAAAACAGTTGGAAGACGAACAGAAGTGTGAATGTGAAAGATGTCAGAAAAAGGAACAAACTAGAACTGAACAAACTCAACATCAAAGAGAAACTAAGGATGATGTCAGAACTAATAAGAGTGTCTTGTCCAGCGAGAAAACATCACAAGTAAATGTTTCTCAACAATCACGGGAAGAAATTCCTACAAAAGCCCCAAAGAAACTCATTTCCAGCACCACACAAACAGACACTAAGGTTAGTGACGCTGCAGTTACTCTTGACCTTCAAGAAGACACAGTTGGAAGGAAGTTGTCAAAAACTTCAAGAAAAGACGAACTTCTTTCTCACTCTCAACATTGTGAGGAGAAAGAGTCTTGTACAGAAGTCAGTAACATCCACTTGCCCAGGTATACAAGTCTTCCCATATCAACAAGAGGTCTCTTCTTCAGCGATTCCTTCTTCCAAGATGCTTGGAATGATTTTAACGCTGCTGTTAAGGAAGTGATGTGTAGATGGGGTGAAGAATCATCTGTCACGACCTTTTAAAACCCACTACAGAAACTTACGATCTCGTGACCTGAGAGATGAGACTCAGGCAGTGAAGTGTTCTGAAGATAATCTCAACTATAAGGTGAGCTGAGGTTTTACCAGTACAATGTTAATGAGAAGTAAAATAAACAACTCAGTAAATCACTTACAAAATTTCAGTTTTTATCTAATATTTGCATATTGCAGTTTTTTGTGGGACGTGCAAGATTCACAGACGGAGGTAAGATCAGTGTCAAGGGGGTGAATGAGAGAGAATTGGTGGTGGAGGGTCGTGTGGAGAAGAAAAACGGAGGATCAAGTTTCACAAAGCGATTCCTTCGTCATTTCGTTCTACCGGAAAATATTAAACTTGAATCAGTGTCATCAGTTATGTCTTCAGACGGTGTCTTAACTATCATGGCGCCCAAGAAGGTAACAAGAAATTATATTCTCTTATAAATTTTTAGTTAGATTGGAAGTAGAATCTTAACATTTCTGTTTGAAATAATTGTTTAATATTCTCTCTTAACAAAGTCATTGTGACTGATAATTATTTGTATTTTGTTCAGGCTAAAACATTAGAGATCAAGGAAGTTGTTGTTCCCATGAGCGTTGAGGAAGGAATCAAGAAGTCTGAGAGTTTGAAGCAGTCAAGTGTAGAAGCTTCCTTGTGCTCATCAGATGCTTCTGAGGCTTCATCAGCTGTCTCTGAGGCTTCATCAGCTGTCTCTGAGGTTCATCAGCTGTCTCTGAGGCTTCTACAGTCAAGAAATCTTCTGTGTTCGGTTCATCAGTTTTATCAGATTCGGTAATTATTATTCTGTATATGTAAATATGATAATGAATACTCTCTCTCATTTAGTGGAATTTTAAAAGGATATTTTTATGCAAATTAGTATTTTTATTAACATTAAAATACTCTTGTGTTGCCACAGGTGACAGAGACTCAAGAAAAACATCATTCCTGTAACACTTGTGGAACAACAACCCAAAGTCAGACTCAAACATCTGATGAGAAATCCTTCACAAAACAGAACGAAATGTCTCATTGTGATCAACTGAAAAGTTTTACATCTTTGAGGAACAAAATGGCCGCTAATGAAGATGTTTCTTCTAAGCGAACAAAACCCAGGCGAGGAAATGTTTCCTCTGATAATAAAAGTGATGTACTTTTAACATCGAGGAAGTTAAAAGCTGATACTAACACTCAACAACCAAGATTATCATTCTAAGACAAATACAGTTTTTTGATAATGAGGTTAATTTAAAACAAGTCTATTGTCAACCGTCATTATCAAGGGCCTGTGAGAACTCTCGTAGTGTTAATCTTAATAGAAAATTTTTCCGTAAGTTTGAAGGGAACAATTTTCAATACTCTTTCTTTGGGACTCCAGAGAAAGTTTGTGACTGCAGTTAAGAATGTACTGAAGAAGACTCATGAAGGATCCTACCTGTGTGATGACATAACATCCTACAGAAACCTAGACAACGTGACTTAAGATCAGAGAACCAAGCCGTCCATGTTGAGGAGGACCTTACCTCTATGAAGGTAAATATTCATTGTAATATGGACCAATCTGGTCTTATTTTCTAATTTTTTTTTGTTACTATAATTTGTGAATTATCAAACACAAAAGTTTAACAAATATTAAACATTTATATAACAGAAATCCATAAGAGGCAATAAAATAGAAGATAAATAATGTAAGTTTCGAACCAACACTGATATCATCTTCAGCAAAATTAAGAGTATTAACCTACAAATAAATTTCTGAGTGTTGAGCACAAATATACAATTATAATCTTATATTTCTTTTCTTTGTGAGTTCATTTGTTTTATTCATTAATATACCGATGTTATCCTTGATAATTTTCTTCACAGATTGTAGTGGACGTCCAAGACTTTATTGGAGGTGATATTAAAGTGGAAGTTGTTGGAGATAGAGAACTTGTGGTTGAGGGAAGAACCAAGAGTGAAGATGGAGCCTCAGCCACTTCCTCGAGCTTCCTTCTTCGCTTCTCCTTGCCTCAGCACGCTGACCTGGAGACAATATCCTCAGCCATGTCCTCAGATGGTGTCCTCACAATCATTACCCCCAAGTTGCAACAGGCTGTTGGTGCTGGTACAACAAACAACAAGGAAATGTTTGTTGAACGTCAGTCAAGACTTGACCACCAGAGTGATGGAGAACAATCATGGGAGGAGAAGAAGGTTCAACACTCAGCTAAAGAGTCTGAGGGTTGTAGCTCCCGGTCCTTCAGTTCCGCCTATCGTTCCCAACATCAATATTCATCCAACAGAAATTTTAAACATTAAAAATTCCTCTAATATTTTCTTAAACTTAGTAATGCTAAAGAATAAATTTTTAACTTATTATATCTCTATTAATTTGTTAATTATCAAAGATAATATAATAATGTAACTGATCACATCATCTTAGGTAATTATATAATGTAAAACTGTGAGAAAAGTAACTAGACTGGGACTTCAGACATCATCAGTGAGCGAGGAACATCACTGTACATGACAGTAACTCAACAGGTAAGACAACCCAAGTTATTATAACAAATTACGTAATTTACATAATGAAAACAAACTTGAAAATAACAGAGACAATAAAATAGAAACACTGACCTAAGGGCTATTTTACATTTGTAAATATAAAGGCATTATGAACACAGGATTATTTTACACTTGTAAATATAGACACTATGCTGACAGGATTATTTTATATGTATTTTATTCCCAAGATGTCAACTTAATCAAAGTTTTTCCTCCGACAGATGTCACCAACTTCACCTTCACGCCTTTGAGCTCACCTGGTGATGTCACCTACACATTCCCTCATTACAAATTCGTATATATATATATATATATATATATATATATATATATATATATATATATATATATATATATATATATATATGTATATATATATATATATATATATATATATATATATATATATATATATATATATATATAAAATAATATATAAGATTCCTATGCAGATATTTATTATTATAATCAAAAAGAAGCGCTAAACCACATGGGCTACACAGCGCTGCAGATAGATAATTCTTGAATTTTTTATAAGTATTAAAATTAGCATGTTTCAGACAAATTTATATATAACAATTAAGCTTGGATAAAGATTTATTTTGTAGAAGAAATTTGTATTGAAAATTTATTTTGAGTAGCAATAAATATATTATATATTTTTACGTTAAATTTTATAAGACGGATCTTCACGATCAATAAAAAATAAAAACTATATATATGATTTATATATATGCCAATTTATTTTATAGTATTAGAAGCCTACAAGACCTTATTAGGATTAGGATTTATTTATATATTCATGTGGGACGCTAAGTTCATGTGTACACCGGGTGCTTGGAGTGGTGCAGACTCGATCCTCCGTCTAGTAAGCCTGAAGCCAACATGCTGCTTAATTTTGCTCGCCCACTCAATTTCTTTCGTTGTCTTGAGTTACCAAGTCTCCGGGTTAACATTGCAAGCAAATGGAACTTTTTAGCATAGTTACTCCAAAATTCCTGCTATAGAGAGTGTGTGAGGATTTTAAAGAAAGTTGCCTTCGAGGATAAACAAAAATAGTTTCTGAATATATTTGTGGAGGAGGAGAAGGAAAAGAAGAAAGAGGAGAGGAGGATGTAAAGGAAAAGAAGACGATTTCAGTTGTATTATTGACCTGGAAAGTTACTAACCCAGGTAACCCAAGAAAACAAATCACTGTCGCTGGTCTCCTGAACATCCTGTGATCCTGTTCCCCAGGAAGCCACCCACATTACTGACCTCTCACAAAACTCGGCTAACACCCGGGTACCTACTTGCCTCTGGGTGAACAGTAGCAACAGGTGTAAGGAAAAATGTTCGACATTTCCTCTAGTTCCAGAATGGAACCTTGTGCATAGAGGTGGTGAGAAAATTAGAAGACAATTCTCGGGAGAAAAAGAAAAACACTCAGAATTTATGGCGATGCTCACCTGTCTCACTATATTAAAAAAAACATTCTAAACTTTAGAAAACAGGTATCTTGACCTGACCTCGGCTTTCTCCTGACCTCTTCTCCCTACGACGTCATAAATTTCCTCCACCTGTGTGGGAGGTATTTGTGTACTGTCTTCTGACTTTCCTCTGACATCGACACCTGGAACACAGCCTTTATCTCACAACCAAAAATTAGAATTCGATTTTGGGACAATGGCAAACGCTGAGCGTGTTTTCTTTACGCCTCATTCTCCTAATATTAGGTAGGTAAGTATGTGTCAGACGACTGTCGTGGGTCTCATCAGATTTTAAAGATTCAAAATTAAACTTTCGTCGAAATATAATGCAGTCAGAGAGGTGGTGGCCGAATTAGAGGGTGGACTTTGTAGGTTAACGGGACCTGATTACCCTGAGCATGTACTCTAAACTACAGTAGTCGGAGATCACCACATTATTGTAGATTTAACGATCACGACATGATGATGATGATGATGATGATGATGATAATGATAATCTTCATTTATTAATATTATATACATTCATTATTATATACAGACCATAACTGTCGTCTGTGACATACTATATAGAAATCCCCTGGTTATGCAGAGCATTTCGAGCAAATTAGGTTAATTTTGTATCCAGGATACGACCAATACAAGTCGACTAATACCCAGGTACCTACTGACTGGTAGTTGAACAGGTATAGCAGGTATCTTAAGAAAACACGTCCTAATGTTTCCACCTGTACCGGTGATCAAACCCAGACCTCAGTGTGAGCTGAGTGCGCTGCCAACCGAGCTACGGGACACATGTAAAGACCCAAAGGCCACAGATCCATGACTGGTGCAATATACAATTAGTTAATGTTGTCATTAAATCTTATTAGGTTTCCCGTAACTCAATTGCTAGTGCATTCAGCTAACGCACTGAGGTCCGTGGTTCGATCCCCGGTACGGGTAGAAACATCAGGACGTGTTTCCTTAAAACACCTGCCGTCCATGTTCCCCTAGCAGTAAAATAGGTACCTGGGTGTTAGTCGACTAGTGTGGATCGCATCCTTGGTCAAAACTGAACTAATTTGCCCGATATGCTTGCTCAGCATAAGATAAGATTTCGTTCGGATTTTTAACCCCGAAGGGTTAGCCACCCAGGATAACCCAAGAAAGTCAGTGCGTCATCGAGGACTGTCTAACTTATTTCCATTGGGGTCCTTAATCTTGTCCCCCAGGATGCGACCCACACCAGTCGACTAACACCCAGGTACCTAGTTGCTGCTAGGTGAACAGGACAACAGGTGTAAGGAAACGCGTCGAATGTTTCCACCCGCCGGGAATCGAACCCGGGCCCTCCGTGTGTGAAGCGGGAGCTTTAGCCACCAGGCCACCGGGCCACATAGCATAGCATAGCAAGGGACTTTCTATATAATAGTATGTCATTGATGTCAGCTAAGCCTGTATACCTTGTACATGTACTTATAGAAATAAAGATATCATTATAATAATAATTCTAGGTAGTAGGTTGGTAGACAGTAACCACCCAGGGAGGTACTACCGTCCTGTGGTAGTAGGTTGGTAGACAGCAACCACCCAGGGAGGTAATACCGTCCTGTGGTAGAAGGTTGGTAGACAGCAACCACCCAGGGAGGTACTACCGTCCTGTGGTAGAAGGTTGGTAGACAGCAACCACCCAGGAGGTACTACCGTCTGTGGTAGTAGGTTGGTAGACAGCAACCACCCAGGGAGGTACTACCGTCCTGTGGTAGAAGGTTGGTAGACAGCAACCACCCAGGGAGGTACTACCGTCCTGTGGTAGTAGGTTGGTAGACAGCAACCACCCAGGGAGGTACTACCGTCCTGTGGTAATAGGTTGGTAGACAGCAACCATCCAGGGAGGTACTACCGTCCTGTGGTAGTAGGTTGGTAGACAGCAACCATCCAGGAGGTACTACCGTCCTGTGGTAGTTAGGTTGGTAGACAGCAACCACCCAGGAGGTACTACCGTCCTGTGGTAATAGGTTGGTAGACAACAACCACCCAGGAGGTACTACCGTCCTGTGGTAGTAGGTTGGTAGACAGCAACCATCCAGGGAGGTACTACCGTCCTGTGGTAGTAGGTTGGTAGACAGCAACCACCCAGGGAGGTACTACCGTCCTGTGGTAGTAGGTTGGTAGACAACAACCACCCAGGGAGGTACTACCGTCCTGTGGTAGTAGGTTGGTTAGACAGCACCATCCAGGAGGTACTACCGTCCTGTGGTAGTAGGTTGGTAGACAGCAACCATCCAGGGAGGTACTACCGTCCTGTGGTAGTAGGTTGGTAGACAGCAACCACCCAGGGAGGTACTACCGTCCTGTGGTAGTAGGTTGGTGGACAGCAACCATCCAGGGAGGTACTACCGTCCTGTGGTAGTAGGTTGGTAGACAGTAACCACCCAGGGAGGTACTACCGTCCTGTGGTAGTAGGTTGGTAGACAGCAACCATCCAGGGAGGTACTACCGTCTGTGGTAAGTAGGTTGGTAGACAGCAACCATCAGGAGGTACTACCGTCCTGTGGTAGTAGGTTGGTAGACAGCAACCATCCAGGGAGGTACTACCGTCCTGTGGTAGTAGGTTGGTAGACAGCAACCATCCAGGGAGGTACTACCGTCCTGTGGTAGTAGGTTGGTAGACAGCAACCACCCAGGGAGGTACTACCGTCCTGTGGTAGTAGGTTGGTAGACAACAACCACCCAGGGAGGTACTACCGTCCTGTGGTAGTAGGTTGGTAGACAGTAACCACCCAGGGAGGTACTACCGTCCTGTGGTAGTAGGTTGGTAGACAACAACCACCCAGGGAGGTACTACCGTTCTGTGGTAGTAGGTTGGTAGACAACAACCACCCAGGGAGGTACTACCGTCCTGTGGTAGTAGGTTGGTAGACAGCAACCACCCAGGGAAGTACTACCGTCCTGTGGTAGTAGGTTGGTAGACAGTAACCATCCAGGGAGGTACTACCGTCCTGTGGTAGTAGGTTGGTAGACAGCAACCATCCAGGGAGGTACTACCGTCCTGTGGTAGTAGGTTGGTAGACAGCAACCATCCAGGGAGGTACTACCGTCCTGTGGTAGTAGGTTGGTAGACAGCAACCATCCAGGGAGGTACTACCGTCCTGTGGTAGTAGGTTGGTAGACAGCAACACCCAGGGAGGTACTACCGTCCTGTGGTAGTAGGTTGGTAGACAACAACCACCCAGGGAGGTACTACCGTCCTGTGGTAGTGGTTGGTAGACAGTAACCACCCAGGGAGGTACTACCGTCCTGTGGTAGTAGGTGGTAGACAACAACCACCCAGGGAGGTACTACCGTCCTGTGGTAGTAGGTTGGTAGACAACAACCACCCAGGAGGTACTACCGTCCTGTGGTAGTAGGTTGGTAGACAGCAACCACCCAGGGAGGTACTACCGTCCTGTGGTAGTAGGTTGGTAGACAGCAACCACCCAGGGAGGTACTACCGTCCTGTGGTAGTAGGTTGGTAGACAGCAACCACCCAGGGAGGTAACTACCGTCCTGTGGTAGTAGGTTGGTAGACAGCAACCACCAGGGAGGTACTACCGTCCTGTGGTAGTAGGTTGGTAGACAGCAACCACCCAGGGAGGTACTACCGTCCTGTGGTAGTAAGGTTGGTAAACAGCAACCACCCAGGGAGGTACTACCGTCCTGTGGTAGTAGGTTGGTAGACAGCAACCACCCAGGGAGGTACTACCGTCCTGTGGTAGTAGGTTGGTAAACAGCAACCACCCAGGGAGGTACTACCGTCCTGTGGTAGTAGGTGGTAGACAGTAACCATCCAGGAGGTACTACCGTCCTGTGGTAGTAGGTTGGTAGACAACAACCACCCAGGAGGTAC